ACACTAATCCCTTCAGCACAAAGACAAAACTGGAATTACCCACAGCTCTCTCTATATCCTGAAAAAGCACAGCTCTGGAATCTGAAGTCTAATGGCCACAGCACATACTGTTTTCTGACACAACAGAGCCTTTAACCTTCTGTTTCATGGTCTGATGTCAACTTTGAATTTTTCATCTTTTAATTTCTTTGTTTCCTTGTTTCCCATCCCCCTTCATAAACACTGGTGTGAATTGCCAACCCAAGCACAGGCCATTTATTCCAAAGCAATCTGTGAGATGTTATGTCCAGAAGAGGACAACATGTCCTTCCATCCTTTTCTGCTCCCAGATGGGCTGGAAAACACTTAAGAGTTCTGCAAAGCCAGCACATCTCAGAAGAGAAATGCACAGAGCTGAGCAGGTGTCCCAGCCACGACAAAACAACACTTTCTGTCTGCTTCAGTGCGGGTGCTTCTGTGGTAGCCACGGACATTAGAAAAAACAATGATTAGCCACACAACTCCAGCACATCAGAGGCCTCACCTGCTGCTTACAGAAGGTGCCACATCCTGGGAGGTTGTCAATTCAACTCTGTTCAACCCAAACTCACCCATCTCACCTCAATTCATCTCTTCCCTGCTATAGCCCAACATGTTAACAGTAGTAACAGTAGCAGTATTTGCAACTTGCTTTACAACAAGAAAAGGTCCACTGTTTCTGCTCACATGGCTAGAAACATACTCAACAGGGATAAAATGAAATATAAACGACCTAGAGAAGAAGACACATATCCAGAGGCAATGCAAAATTTATTACAAAATCATCCACTTCATGCAAGACCCAAAGGTTCAGCAATCAGGTCTGACAAGACAAAATTAATTAACAACCTGCTTTACTCACTGGGAAGTGTTTATTTAACATATCAGGCCCTTGAGGGATCAATATTGCAAGCTTCTTGAAGCTTAAGAAAAATAACCTGTATCACTCAACCTGCAGGACAGCTGCAATTAGTATTTCTTCTTAAGCCCTTGTTTTATTTTGTTAATTGGATTAATGCTTTCTTGATACCCAGGGCTATGTTCCGGCCTTTTCCCATTATTAAATAAACCTTTCTTGCCACTCACAGACCTGTAAAGCTGTGGCTCTGTTCATTTTTAGTGACTTGGAACACTCTGTTCTCTCTCATATTTCAGCCCCAATGAAAAACTGCTCCTTGAAAATTCAATAAAGCATCTGAACAGCACGTTCCCATGAAGCAATTCACCACTGGAGCCTAAGCAAGCTTTTGTTTGGCATCTCCAGTTGGCTTTGGAGTAAGTTGTTGCCCCTTCTCTCTCCTGAGTGCCAAAAGCTTCTAGGTGAGCCCTTTACCACTGTTTGGTTCAAATCACTCACCTCACACCAGCTCACTTCCTGCTTGGCCCCTCCAGGCTGAGTCCAGGCATCCTG